ACTCAGGATGGGGGGCCGCCGCCTGGCGGCTGGCCGTCTCTCGCGGCTTACGCCGACGCCACATTCGTTGAGACAGCCGCCGACGAGGACCGAGATCACCCGAGATCACACGAGATGAACCGAGATCACCCGAGGTCGCCCGAGATCACACGAGATCACACGAGATCACACGAGATCACAATAGATAACACGAGATCGCACGAGATCGCAATAGATCACACGAGATCGCACGAGATCGCACGAGATCACACGAGATCACACGAGATCACACGAGATCACAATAGATAACACGAGATCGCACGAGATCGCAATAGATCACACGAGATCGCACGAGATCGCACGAGATCGCACGAGATCGCACGAGATCACAATTATAGGACGCGGCCTCGGCGCTCATCAGCCTCGCGGTGTCTGGCGCGGCCCCGTCACAAACAAACAACTCGCCCGAGCCGCATCACGGCCTCCCACGGGCGCAGCTTTCCGCGGCGGCGCCGTCGGCAGCGGTGGCGGCGCCCACGATGGCGGCGGCGACGCTGGCGGCGGCGCCGGCGGTGGCGACGCTACCGGAGCCGGGGCCAGTAGCATCGGGCCCGTTGGCGTTTGTGCATGCGACGCCCCTCCCGTCGCTGCCTCTGCCAGCGCTGCCATTCGCAGTCGCCTACGCGCCCGCGGCTCCGGCGTGGCTGCTGGCGACGCCCCCGCCCTCGCCTCCGGTGCGCGGGCCTCCGGGGAGAGAGAGGGGGAGATCTCCTGAGATGAGGGGGAGATCTCCTGAGATGAGGGGGAGATCTCCTGAGATCGGATCGTCCAAACTAGGGCTCAGTCGGGACGCCGCGCCTTGTCGCCCCACACACCGCCTCGCCCCTCTGCCTCGCCCCACGCGCTGCCTGCGAACTAGGTTTGGCCGGAGGGCGGCGGAGGGGGCGAGTTGGGCGCCCCCCTCGCCGCCTCGCCGCCGGCGCCAGAGCCGCTCGGCGCAGATCCGAAGCCGCAGGCGGACGCGTGGGAGGCGCTGCGGACTGCGCCGATGTACGCTGCTGTCGGCGGCGCTGGCATCCTCGCGGTCGCGCTCACCGATTTGCGCCACAAGCCCGCCGGACTAGAAGCGGAAGGCGGAGATTTGTAGGCCCACTAGCGCTCTCGAGAGGACACGGCTTCCGCTGCACTCGCGGCCGTATTCTTCGCCGTATACACTGTGGTCGTTCCCTTTCGTGCATTCGGCGTGCTCACGCGGTTCTCTGACTATTGTTCTCCAACTACTCTGCTCGCAGCCGTCTTCCCGCCCTAAGGTTGTTGGCGTCTTCATCACGTATAGGCCCGCCTTTCTCCTCGCCATGGCGTGCGGTGTGGCCGGCGTGGGCGCTGTGTTGGCTTTCGACCTCGCCCGCTCGCGTTTGCTGCCCAAGGCGGGTTGCGCCGCCGCGCTGGCCGTCGCGGTCGCCAACTTCGCCTACCTCTCGACGCGCTCGCAGGAGCAGCGGCGGCGCTCCTACGCAATGAATGACTCGATCGAGTCGATCGATTCACGAGTCGATTGATTGGCTCGCAGGGGGAGCTGGCGGGGTTCCGCCAGAGGGAAGTCGAGTCGCAGGACGACGAGCTGGGCACTGCGGTCGTCTCGGGCGCCTTTGGCGTGTGGGTCGGCCTTCAGCCGGCCACGCAGCTGCCGGCTCCGCTCAAGTGGGCCGATAGATAGGCAGGAAGGCGACACTCCGTCCGACCAACGATTGGGACACCCCAGCGGTAATGAACCTACGACCGGTAGACTGATTGATTGATGGGAAGACGAAACACAGATCCACATCCAGGTGTTTGTAGCCTGGCGGTTGTGCCCCGTTTGTGCCGCGTCCCGGGCCCCCTAGTTCTCACTTTACGCTCGTTCCACATCCAGGTGGGCTGCCGTCGGCGCGCTGCTGCTGCTCGCTCTGTGCGCAGACGCGGTGGTCTACCGGGGCCAGCCGTTGCCGTCCGCGCTGTGGAAGAGCGAGCTCTGCCCCCTCCCGCTGCCCACGCCCCTCCACCTCTTCTGTGGAACACTAGATGCGGACTACCACCACCACAGCGCAGCCTTGCCTTCCAACTAGCGCTCGAGAGGACAAAGCTGTAGTTGTGTCGCTCGTATTACGCACACGCGGTGCTCTGTCTGAGTACTCTGCACAACACCGACCTCCCGAGGTTGGGCGTATGCCCCCCCCACGTGTAGGCGTGCCGCTCGTCGCCGGCGTCAGCGCGTTCGATTTGCCTCCGCGCCTGGCGCCAGGCCTCGGTAGCTTGGCCAAGGTGCCGGGAGCACTGCTCGCGCCTCCCGACGGGTGGAGGCTGCACATGCCAACGGTGGTGCTGCTTGGCGGGGTGTCTGCGATCCTGCCGATGGCGCTGAACGCGCGCGCGTACATGGTCGAGTGGGGGGTTCCGACGGAGGAGCCGGCCCGGCAGGGTTTGTTTCTGTATGTGGATGAGCTGCCGACGGTGGACTGGGTGTTTTCGGCCGGCGTTGTCCCTTCCTCCATCGTGCTCTCGGGCGCCGCGGTCTTTGCAGAAGGCGCCGCACTCTGTAGAAGCCGAACACGCCTTCAATTCGCGCTCGAGCGGTCACGAGCCGCCCGTGGTCGACCGTCTTCCGCCGCGTTCACTCTCACTCTGCAACCCTTCACACTTTGCACGATGCTCTGAGTGCTCTCTGCACGACACCGTCTCCCCGCCCCGATGTTGGCGCGGCGTCTTCCAGCACGTTGTTCCCGGACCCGCCCTGAGGTGGGCGTCTTCCAGCACGGTAGGCGTCGCGCCGCGGGACGTCAAGTATGTGCTCTCCTTCTTCTGGGCGATCGCCGCCCTCTCGCTCGCGACTCTGATCGGAGCGAGCTGGTGGGCGCTTCCTAGACACTTCCCAGACACCTCCCAGACACTTCCGAGACACCTCCGAGACACTTCCGAGACACTTCCGAGACACTTCCGAGACACTTCCGGAACAATTCCACACCTCCGAGACACCTCCTCGCCGCCCTGCCCCGCACCCCGCCCGCCCCATTCATACCCCCGTACCCCGCATCTCCCGCCCCGTACCCTCCTCGTGTGCCAGGAGCACCCCGGCGGCAGAGAACGGCAGCAGCGTCGCCGCCTTCAACAGCCTGCGCGGCGCCGCGCACGAGCCGGCCGCGGCCCGCGCCGTGAGGCGGATCTTGCTCGTGGTCTGCCCTCTCGCGGTCGCCGGCCACGCGTTCGCGATCACCGCGACGCGTTGCCGCTACTTCTGGCGGCACACGCGCGGCGCCATCGCCCTCCAGGCAATCTGAGGCAATCTCGGCCAATCTCGGCCAATCTCGGGCCAACGCTCGGCCACTCTCGCCCGATCTCGGGCGCCGTCGGGGGCGCAACCTCGCCTCGGGGCTGCGATATCGGCTAATCGCCCGCTCGCTGTGCCCCATCGCCCTGCAGGGCTGCGCGCGGCTCGCTGCGGCGGTGGCGCTCCACCGCTTCGGCGCGGCGTCGTATCCTCCGGGGGGTCTCGCCTCCGTGGAGGCGAGTCTGTGTGTCAACCTCTGCTTTGTCGGGCTCGCGCTGCTGCTGACGCCGCGAGCAAGGCGGTCCCTCGCCCGGCGGTCCGGCTTCGGGCTGCAGGCTCTCGCGCTCGCCGTTGTGTTTTACTGGGCCCACCGGCTGCGCGAGAGCAGCCGGGCGTCTGGGCGGCCGCCGCAGCTCGCCGCCTTTTCCATGCCGCTCCTCGGGGCCGCTTACCTCGTCCAGCACGCGAGAGGAGGGCCGCGGCTGGCAAAGCAGGCTTGGGCCGCCAGCCGCGTCATTAGCCGTTAGTCAAGAGCGCTTATTACGCGGGACCGCCAGCTGCATTCTCTATTAATTGCTCATTCACGAAGCAGGTGTGGACCGCCAGCTGTGTTCTCGGGCCGGCTGCAGGGATGGTCAGCGTTCTGCTTCGGCCGACCGCCGCCGTGCAGTTCGAGCTACGGGCGAGTTCGCAAACTGCAGTGAGTTTGGAGCGCCGTTTGAACAGGCCGACCGCCGTCGTGCAGCTCGAGATGGGCTACCGGCTGAGCTTGCCGCCGCTGAAGTTTGTGGCAGGCCTCTGCTGCGGGCTGATGCACAGCCTGCAGCCGTACTCCCCCCCGCGGTCGCTGCTGCTGGCGGCCGTCGTCGCCACTCTCCTCTCCGCCATCCACGCGGTTGCCTACTTGCGCACCGGCGACACGAGCTGGCTTGGGGGCGTCCCCCACCCTCTCGCCTTCCCCTTTGCCCTGCCGACGCTCTGCGCGCACGCCGTCACCTCCTTCCGGGGGCAAGCGGAGGAGTCGGCGGCGGAGGAGGCGGCGGCGGAGGCGGCGGGGGAGGCGGAGGAGGCGGCGGGGAGGGAGGCGGAGGAGGGGGAGGCGGGCTGCGCGGGCGCGGGCGCGGGCGGCGGCGCGGCGTCGGCGGGGATGTTAGGCCGCTCTGCAAGCATGACGTGTCACGGCGAGCCGGCCGCGCTGATCAGCTCACCCGCCGGTGTGACTACTCTGCTCCTTAGGACGCGCGTCCGGGCAGTGCGTCACGGCGAGCCCTACAACGAGCCAGCTCGCGGTCTATGCGGGCGCGGTGCTCGCGATGGGATTCAATCCGAACCGACGTTTCTGGGTCGGCGGGGCCATCTTCGTCTCCGCCGCTCTCTGCTGCGTCGCCGTCCCCTTCCTCTTCCGCCTCGAGGCCGTCACACGCCGCTGCTTCGCCGCCGTCGCGCGCTACCAGGCCGTCGTCGCCGTCGGCATGGCTCTGCTGCAGCTGCACTTCGCGCTCTCCCACTCCGACGAGGAGATCACAGGGCGGACGCGGGGGGCGAGAGGAGAAGGCTGTGCATGGGGAGGCGGACAGCTGTGAATAGGAGCTCGAGGAGCGCCTGCGAAACGGCTTGCGGCCAACGGCGCGGGTCTGCGCCTTTTACGTCGCCGTCGCTTTTGGCGCAATGCTCGGTGCACACGAGAAGCTCTCTTGCTATAATAGCACTAGCGGACCCGCGGTGTGCACGTACCTGTATCCAGCAGAGCAGGCGCAGTCACGAGCCAGCGCCACTCGCCACCCGCCATCTTTTCCCTTTCGTGTATCCTATGGCGCAACGCTCGGTCGGCTCTCTCCCCGCGCCGAGCACACGCTCCCTCACAGCTCGCTCTCCTTGTGGCCGGCCCGCACCGCTTCGTGTTCCTTCTTTAGGCTCTCTCCCCGCCGAGCACACGCTCCCTCACAGCTCTCTTCTCTTCTCTGGCCGACGGGCTTGCTTTTCTTTGTTCAGGCTCTCGCCCAACCGAGCAGTTGTCGCTCGGAGAGCGGCGGCTCTGCCTCAGCTTGGTGGTCGGCGTGACGCTGGCCGCCGACCTCACCCAGGCTCGCCGGCACCCCGAGTACTTAACAATTCATTCATTCATTCGTTCATTCATTGCCGATCTCACCCAGGCTCGCCGGCTCGGCGACGCGCGCTTTCTCTTTCTCTGGGGCTCGTTCCACGCGCCGATGGGGCTGAGCCTCTGGGCTTGCTCGGCCGGCGGCGCAGCAAAGGCAAAGGCGCTGGCATCGAAGCTTACGCTAGCTGGCGTCGAAGCCTAGGCCCTAGCGGCCTCCTCGTGTGAGTGTGAGCACACACACACACGGCCTCCTCGCGCGCAGTGCCGTACAGCACCATCAGCTGAAAGACTGCCTCATGTCTGTGGCACGTTTGCGTATGCGTTCACGTGGGGCCCCGCCGTCGCGCGACGACTTATACAACACATTGAAGGGGCGGGGGTCTGCACTTGCATTTTGGAAGACCGTCTTTTACGGTAAATAACTCCAAAACCCGCAGCGGCCCAGGGGGCCTTGGGGGCAGCCTGCCGGACCGCCGCTGCACGGGGCTAAGCACCAGAAGATGAATGTAGGTGATGGATCGGGCTGTCGTCCGTGCCTCCCCTCTTTAGGTCAGAGTGGGACCTACGCCGCGCCCGGCAAGGGGCGCGCCCGGTCCTCGACGGAGCCGCGCGCCCCAAGCGACCCAGGCGACGAGTAGTCGTCGTCGAACCTCCGGCATGTAGTTGCCCGTGGTTAGCGCCCGTCCGCCCTCCGCCGTCCGTCGCTTCGTGTGACCAGCGAAGAAAGAAGTTTACCTTACCTTACCTTACATCGAGGTCTAGAGAAGGAGGGGGGGCGGTGGAGAAGGAGGCGGTGGGGTGGGAGGCCGTGGCGTGTGTGTGTGTGTGGGGGGGGGGGGGGGGGGCAGAGAGGGGGCGGCGTCTGCACGCCGAGGGAACGGCTCTCGCCCCTCTGATCCCCGATCAACAAATCTCCCAGAGTCCCTGCGTCGGCATAGTCGAGAGCGAGGAACGGCGTCTCGCGCGGGGCGCATGCAAAGCCCATCACATAGATGATGTTCTCATGGTGTAGTGCTGCCGCGATCTGACACTCGGAGGCAAAGGCGCTGCTCGCGCGCAGCGGCTGCTTCACCGCGAGACGACCGCCGTAGTGGCGGCCAAGCCTAACGGTGCCTTGGCCGCCCTTGCCGAGGCGACCCTGGCTGCTGCCAAAGGCGATGTCGCGCAGGGCGAGGCCGCCGTACCGGCTCGCGGTCGGCGCCAAAGGCGGGATCGGAGCGACGAGGCGAGGAGCAATTGTAGGTGGAAGAGCGGCGAGGGGCGGCGGAAGTGCCAAGCTCGGCTGCCTCGCGACGAGCAGGTGGCCCCTGCCGTGCTGGCCGAGGGCCCGTGGCCGAGGGACGGTAGACGGAATCGGGACGGGAACGAGAGCCGCAGGAGCAGCGTCAGGCACCGCGAGGGCGGCGGCCTCCGCTCTCGCGTTCTTGAGTCTGCGACTGTACTCGACCTTCTCGGCCCTGCGGTCACGGCCCCGATCGCCCCTATCATCCGGATTGGCAAGTCTATACACGGCCTCAGCGCGTGCCTGCGCCGCGGATCGCTCCCTTTTCGGCATGTCGTTGCATGTCAAGAACCCAGTGTCGGGAGCGAAGGCGCGAGTGGTGACACGCCCGCAACCTTTGAGCACCTGTGTCCCCCACCAGACATAAATCGTCCCCCACCAGACATCGAAGTCAAATGTCAAAGACACCTCTAGGGACTGGCAAAGTGGGCTGCCACACCCACAAAGATGCAGAAAAAGGGGACACCGGCGTGACGTGGCCTCTCGACGGGTTTGTTGAAACTTGGTTCGGCGCACGAGCGAGCACGCACACACGAAATAAATGAATCTTTGCCGGCTTGGGTACAGACGCAATTTAGTGGGTTCAGGGACACGGTTAAGCGGGAGGATTGAATTCGTATCTCAGGGCAACCTTTTAGTGTACTAGTTAGTATCTAGACCGTATAGTGACCGGCGCGCAGCGCCGAAGAAAATTTGAGAAAATTTTGGCAGAAATCGCTTATAGAAATCGGCTGCTGGCTCGCCCGATTTCCCTCGCCGAAACAGAAATCGGCTGCTGGATGTCGCACTGTACGTGTTCAGAAACACCAAGCAGCGAGGCGAGGGTGAAGGGGTAAGGGGCTGTGTGGGGCAGAATCTACATCTGACTACTCCATCTAGCCTGGGGGGTCGGAGGAGGGGGGGGCAGAAGGGGTAAGATATGCATGGGTGAAGCCAGCTAGTCGGACGCCCTGTCGTCGGAGAATACTCCTCGGAGCCGGTGTCCTCGCGTGGTCAGGAAGGCATAAGGTCCCCGCCCGTGTGGATAGACCCGGGCTCCAGCGCGATATTCATACCGCATGCTGCAGGGCCAAAGGGCCATTCAAAAATGCAAAACGTGCGCGCTAAATGCAGATCGTCTCTAGAGACAGACAACCCAGAAAATCCAGGCGCGTACACGCGCTGCAGGACCCTACTCGTTTCCGTTCATCCCGTCGCCTCCCTAAGCAGCAGCTTCGCGCTCGAGGCCACCGCGTCGGCGTGGGTCAGCTTGGCCAGCCAGCCGCTCGGCAGGCCGCCCGCGTCCGCGGCGAGCGCGCCAAACACGGCGCCGTTCCACATGTTGGCGCTGCACGAGTCTCCGCCGGCGAGGATGCGTTGGCCGACGGCGTCGGCGTACGACGGCGCGCCCTGCGCGATCAGGTGTGCGCCGCTGAGCAGGTTGTAGGGGTAGTCGCAGGCCTGCCCCACCTCCTGCACGACGTCAAAGTTGGAGCGCGCAAGCGCCGTCGGCGTAAGGAGCGCCTCGATGCGCGCCGCGAGCCGGCCGTCCTGCGGCATCGGGTGCGCGCGGTGCGGGTCCTTCATCGCCTGCACCGCGGCACGCACGGCGCCGCGGGCGCGCAGATGCGGCGCCGCCACGCCGCCCTCTGCGTCGCTGCCGTCGCTGCCATAGAGGATTGCGCTCTCGAGGATGCGGGCGGCGGCGAGTGCAAAGGCAACCGCCTCGTCCGTGTTTTGGGTCACGCGCGTGAGGGCGGCCACTCGGTCTAGCAGCGCGGCGCCCTGGCCCGCGAAGCGAGCGACCAGCGCGGGCATGTGCGCAATCGCGTTCGCCTGCGTATCGTTGGCGCCGCATGACGGCCAGCGCAGCCCCTTCAGCTCGTTTGCCACAAAACCCTTGGTGGAGCCGTCTTGGTAGCACGCGCCGCACGCGGTCTTGCACAGCCCTCCCGGCCGGTACGAGGCAAAGTAGTCCGACTCCAGCGCCGAAGGCACATCGTCGCTCCAACCCTTGCCGCCGCCAATGGACTGCGCCAGCGCCTTGAGGTAGAGCAGGCTCTGCTGGCCGTAAGGAGACTGCTCGCCGAACGGATAGTCATAGTAAGGGCACGACGGGGTTGGGAAGAAGGCGGGGTCGCCACCGGCGGTGGCCACGAGTTGAGCCACTTTCGATGTGTTGTAGATCCAGTGCAGTGGCATCGAGGCGGCGTCCGCGACAAAGGAGCCGACGACCGCATGCAGGGCTCGGTGCGAAGCGGCGGCGTCGAGGAGCGGCGTCGAGGAGCTGGCGAGCGAGACGGAGAGCATATGTGATGTCGGCGTCAAGCGTGCTCCGTGGACTGAAGAGGGCCTGGCCGTGCAGCGTCTTGAGCGCACGGCAGAGCGGCAACAGCGCGAAAAGAATTTTACAACAAAACTCCCTCGCACAACACTGGGCACAGGACTGGGCACGGGACTGGCTCGCACTGGCACTAACACAGGTACACCACGGGAGCCGCCTAAGCGACTCCTGCGAGGGTGGCGAGGCACTTAGCTCCGTGCACCCGCCCACCCCCGCCACAGGCAAGCTCATTCACAATCTGCTCTCAGCGCTGCGAAAAAACTCGCGAACTCCACTGTTATGGGAGCTCGCGGCGCCGATGCCGTCGATGCGTCGTCGATCGAGCGCGTTGCCGACCCTACACTCGCAACGCAGCGCCGCCGCCTATCTGAAGCGCCTTGCCCTCCGCCTCCAGTACCAGCGGGCACCATCTCCATCAGCTTTCCGTCACCGTTGCCCCCGCCTCTCGAGCCCGACACGGACAGTGACGGCATCCCCGACGCCAGCGAGGGCACAGCCGACACAGACAGCGACGGTGTGCCCGACTACATCGACCCCGACTTGGATGGCGACGGCATTCCCGACGCCAGCGAGGGCACAACCGACACGGACAGCGACGGTGTGCCCGACTCCACGGACCCCGACTCGGACGGCGACGGCATCCTCGACGCCAGCGAGGGCACAGCCGACACAGATAGCGACGGCATGCCCGACTACCTCGACCCCGACTCGGACGGCGACGCCATCCCAGACGCCACTGAGGGCGCCGCAGACACAGACAGCGACGGCATGCCCGACTACATCGACCCCGACTCGGACGGCGACGGCATCCCCGACGCCAACGAGGGCACGGTCGACACCGACACCGACGGCATGCCCGACTACCTCGACCCCGACTCGGATGGCGACGGCATCCCCGACGCAACAGAGGGCACAACCGACACGGACAGCGACGGTGTACCCGACTCCACGGACCCCGACTCGGACGGCGACGGCATCCCCGACGCCAGCGAGGGCACAACCGACACAGACAGCGACGGCATCCACGACTACCTCGACCCCGACATGGACAACGACGGCACAGCTGACACGGACAGCGACGGCATACCCGACTACCTCGACCCCGATTCGGACGGTGACGGCATCCCAACGGCTGCGGAGGGCACAGCTGACACGGACAGCGACGGCATACCCGATTACCTCGACCCCGATTCGGACGGTGACATCACACGCGACGCTGAGGAGGGCTCCACCGACACAGACAGCGACGGCATCCCCGACTACCTCGACCCCGACTCGGACGGCGACGGCATACCCGACGATTTTATTAATCACCTAGGAACCGAGGGTCACGAGGACACGGACAGCGACGGCATCCTAGATCTTCTCGATCCTGACTCGGACGGTGACGGCATCCCGGACGCCACCGAGGGCACCGCAGATACCGACGCAGACGGCGTGCCCGACTTCCTCGACCCCGACTCCGACGGCGATAGCCTTCCTGATGCCGACGAAGGCGCCGCAGACGAAGATGGAAACGGCGTACCCGACTATATCGACCCCGACTCGGACGGCGACGGCATCCCTGATGCAACTGAGGGCACAACCGACACAGATAGCGACGGCATCCCCGACTACCTTGACCCCGACTCGGACGGCGACGGCGCCCCGGACGCCACAGAGGGCGCCGCTGACGCAGATAGCGACGGCATGATCGATGTAGCCGACACGGACAGCGACGGCATGCCAGACTACCTCGACCCCGACTCGGACGGCGACGGCATCCCCGACGCTGAGGAGGGCTCCACCGACACCGACAGCGACGGTGTACCCGACGCCACGATGGATCCCGACTCGGACGGCGACGGCATCCCAGACGCCACCGAGGGCACAACCGACAGCGACAGCGACGGTGTACCCGACTCCACGGATCCCGACTCGGACGGCGACGGCATTCCCGACGAAGAAGAGGGCACAACTGACACGGACAGCGACGGCATCCCCGACTACCTCGACCCCGACTCGGACGGCGACGGCATCTCGGATGCCACGGAGGGCTCAGCCGACACAAACAGCGACGGCATCGACGACTACGTCGACCCCGACTCGGACGGCGACGGCATCCCCGACGCCAACGAGGGCACGGTCGACACGGACAGCGACGGCATCCACGACTACGTCGACCCCGACTCGGACGGCGACGCCATCCCCGACGCCAACGAGGGCACGGTCGACACGGACAGCGACGGCATCCCCGACTACATCGACCCCGACTCGGACGGCGACGCCATCCCAGACGCCAGCGAGGGCACAGCCGACACAGACAGCGACGGCATACCCGACTACCTCGACCCCGACTCGGATGGCGACGGCGTCCCCGACGCAACAGAGGGCACAGCCGACACGGACAGCGACGGCATGCCCGACCACCTCGACCCCGACTCGGACGGCGACGGCATCCCAGACGCCAGCGAGGGCACAACCGACACCGACAGCGACGGTGTGCCAAACTTCCTGGACCCCGACTCGGACGGCGATGGCATCCCTGATGCCGAGGAGGGCACGGTCGACACGGACAGCGACGGCACCAGAGTGGTACCAGACTACCTCGACCCTGCAATACGCCTCTCGCCGCCAGGCGCACCTCCCTCTCCGCCGCCGTTCTCGCCGTCGAGCCCCTCGTCACCGCCCTCCCTGCTGCCAGCGTCCCCAACTCCGCCGTCGCCACCGGAGCCACCTGCTCCGCCGCCTCCGCCGCCGGTGCCCGAGCCACCGCCCGTGCCGCCGCCTGCGCCGCCCTCTCCGCCGTCGCCCCCGGCGATGCCGCCCGCGCCTCCGCTTCCCCCGGGGGAGCTGGCCCTCAGCCTGAGGCCGAGCCCGTCGCAGCCACCGCCGCCATTGTGCAAGGCGAAGCTTAAGGCGGACGGCACCTTCGAGTACGCGCTGAGCGGCCGACCATACTCCCCGCTGACAGAGGAAGGTCTTTTCCAGGGTATGCCAAGTGGTGGCACAGCGAGCCAGGCGTACATGGACGCCAACTGGGGACAGTATGCGGGCACCACCTGCTACCAGTGGCTCTGTCAGTCGGGACAGGGCTATGTGAATGGACAGGAGCCCGGAGGAGGCTTTGCCAAAGGGTACATGCGAGGCGTGCCGTGCTCCCCCCAAGGTGGTGTCGCGATGACCTGCAACTCCTGCAGCGGCGTCGGTTGCCCAGAGGGCATCACCACCACCATCGTCGACCTCATCCCGGGTGAGGACTACGCAATCTCCTTCTGGCAAGCCCACGGCGGGTTTGCTCCGCCAACGTATGACGGGCGCTACTCTGCGACCCCAGAGGGGGCGCTGATGCATTGGCGAGTGGAGATCACACCGCAGGGCGGGACTGCAGTGACAGAAGAGTCCCCCGATCTGCCGTACCTCGGCGAGGGCAAGCAGGTGTGGGAGCGAGCGTCGATCCAGTTCACGGCGGGCACCGGCACCACTGCCGCCCTCGTCCTCAAAGGCGACCCGTCGTGGACGGAGGGTGGGACCCACCGTGTCATGGCGGTGGACGACGTCACGGTCGATTGCGTGTTCCATCCGAGCCCCATGCCGCCCCCAAGTCCGCATTCCCCCCATCCAGTCGTCGTTCCCGACTCCATCACCCCTTGGCTATTCCCGGCTCTTCCCCCTTTGTGGCTCACAAGTTTCCCTCTCC